GCTCCCGCGATATGTTGGTATCATCAAATGTTCGGCTACAGGGCTAGAAAGTGCCTACAACCTTGTAGATTTAACAGGGCTAGTAACCGATACTCACGAGTATCAATGGCAACGGCATCAACACACATAATGCCTGAAAATAGTCGCCTCTTTTATATACAAGACCGAACCACTGGCGCACAATTCTTAGTTGACACTGGAGCGGAAATTAGCGTAGTACCTCCATTTAACGAGGAAAGAAAAAACATTAATCCGTCATTAGTGCTAAGAGCAGCAAACAAATCAGATATTAAGACATATGGCAAACGGAAATTGTCCCTAGATTTTGGACGTGGCGCTTCATACCGTTGGAACTTTGTCATAGCAGACGTATCGATGCCCATAATAGGCATAGATTTCTTATGTAACTTTGACCTGCTAGTAGACTCTAGACGACACAGACTTATAAACGGCAGTCAAACCACTTCGATAAGAGGAATACTTACGGAAGCCGTTTCAATGAACCTTGTGATAGATAAAAGTCGTGGTGATCCATATAAATTGTTGTTAAAGGAATTCCCTGAACTCGTAAAAGTAACATACAATAAAGCGGATCTCAAACATTCTATTCAGCATCACATCGTAACGAATGGTCCACCAATCAATGCAAGACCAAGAAGGTTAGATCCCAAAAGACTAGCCATCGCAAAACAGGAATTCGACAAGCTAATGAGGCTAGGCATTATAAGGCCATCGAGCAGCCCGTGGGCATCCCCGCTACATATGGCCCCGAAAAAGAATGGAGAGGTTAGGCCATGTGGAGATTACAGAGCACTGAACAAACAAACAGTAGCTGACAGATACCCTATACCACACATTCATGATTTCACCTACAGTATTGAGGGCACTACTATCTTCTCAAAGATCGACTTAGTCAGAGCATACTACCACATCCCTGTTGCCCCACAAGACATACCGAAGACAGCAGTAACAACCCCATTCGGGCTATATGAATTCCTGCGTATGCCTTTTGGACTGACTAACGCGGCACAGACCTTTCAACGGTTTATCGACCAGGTCATTAGAGGTTTACCTGGGGTATACGCGTATATTGACGATTTATTAGTAGCTAGCACCACTAAAGATGATCATATACAACAACTACGGCAATTATTTATACGACTCAGAGAACATGGTATTTCTATAAATATTGAGAAGTGTGAATTCGGAAAGGAATCTTTACAGTTCCTAGGTCACAATATAACTTCTCAAGGCATCACACCAATAGCAACAGAAGTCGACGCCATTAGGAATTATCCCCTACCCGACTCATGGAAAAAGTTACGCCGATTTCTCGGGTTAATAAATTATTACAGACGATTTATCCCGAATTGCGCGTCAATATTGCAACCACTAACAGATGCATTACGCGGAAACGCACGGACATTCCAATTATCACCAGACGCGATTCAAGCATTCGAGAACGCTAAAAAAGCACTAAATAAAGAAGTGACACTAACTAGACGAAAGAGCGAAACACCGTTAGCTATCATGACGGATGCATCAGACGTAGCGGTAGGAGCCGTTTTACAACAATTAGTAAATGGCATATGGGAACCGCTCTCATTTTTTTCGAAAAGACTGGATCCGACACAAACAAGATATAGTACTTTCGGAAGAGAACTCCTAGCAATTTACTTGGCAATAAAACATTTCCGACATATGATTGAGGGTACCATTTTCACAATATATACAGACCATAAACCCCTCACAAAAGCATTGAACGCCAAACAGGACAACTACTCGCCGAGGGAAATCCGACAATTAGAATTTATTTCCCAATTCACGTCCAACATACAGTATATCAAAGGTAATAGTAACGAAGTAGCAGACGCATTATCCAGAACGATGGTTAACGCTCTCATCCAGTCTGAAATCGATTATCACAAGTTAGCAGCATTACAAAATATTGACGTCGAGTTAAACAGACTAAAGTCTGCCAATACAACCTCGTTAGTTCTCAAAGAAACTCCATTGGAAGAAGTAAGCATCACCTGCGATATTTCTACAGGTCAACCAAGACCATTTATTCCAAAGCCGCTAAGGCGAAACATTTTCGAAGCCATGCACAATATTTCGCATCCCGGAATAAAGGCCACCATCAAACTAATCAGCGAACGTTTTGTATGGCCAAGTATGAATCGGGATATTCGTAATTGGACGCAAGCGTGTATAAAATGCCAGAGAGTTAAGATACATCGCCACACCAGTTCCGCAGTAGGTCATTTCCGTCATCCCGATAACAGATTCGAGCACGTACATATCGATATTATAGGACCACTGCCGGTTTCGAATGGCTTCAGTTACATTTTCACTTGCATTGATAGATTCACACGATGGCCTGTAGCTGTGCCCATAAAAGATATTACAGCCGAAACTATCGCAAAAACCCTAGTAGAGCATTGGATTTCCCATTTTGGTGTACCTACTAATATCACAACCGATAGAGGAGCTCAATTCGAGAGCCGCCTCTTCCAACAACTCACAGAACTACTCGGAATCAAACGAATTCGCACAACATCCTACCATCCGATGTCGAATGGTATGGTAGAGAGATTGCATCGGCAACTTAAAGCTTCTCTTACAGCTGTCATCAGCAATAACGATTGGGCCAGCAAGCTACCGTTAGTCATGTTGAGCTTAAGATCAACAATCAAACAAGATATAGAATGCTGCCCAGCAGAATTGGTTTATGGAACCACACTACGTCTGCCAGGAGAGTTTTTCACCGCAAGTAAAAGCGTCCCAACTGATATAGCGGACTATGTACAGCGTCTTAAGCAGCATATGAGTAGTCTAAGGATAACGCTTCCGAGACAACATCAACGCCGTGTGTACATACCCAAACAACTAAGTGACAGTACCCATGTGTTTATCAGAAGGGATAATGTGCAACGTCCCTTGCAACCGGCCTACGATGGTCCATTTAAGGTGATTAAAAGAGACGACAAAACTATTACGGTAGAAAAAGCTGGAAAAACGGATGTAATTAGCATCGACCGAGTCAAACCAGCTTTCATCGAAGCCTACGATCAGCCAGTACATACAGATACTGCGAAAACCGTTGAATCATCGAAACTTCAGTTCCAATCATCAACGACATCGACGAACACAAACAAAGAGAATCCAGTAACTACAAAGTCTGGTCGAAGAGTAAGATGGCCCCAACGTTATGTCGCTGCAATCTTCTATTAATAATCTTCTACTATTTTAAATATTAATTATAACTTCCACTTCATTGTACACACATGCATTACTAATTTCATGTTTTACGCTATAAAACTCAACATATCCTATGTACCCCTACACTTAAACGTATAATTTTTATTTAAAATGTAAAGCAATACCGCATTCCTTCTATTTATTGCTATTATTTTTTATAACCTCACGGACAGGCGCAAACCAAATGTACAGCACACACCAACTTCATCTTAATTTTGTACAAACTATTTTTTTTCAAACGATTGTAACTACCTTACTCAGTTTAGTAATTTTTTGTGCAAACACAGACATTTTTCCATATATCTTTGTTTGCAGGGGGGAGCTATTATAGTGACTCACGTGCAATTGAGTTTAGTTCAGTCAAGGCCTTTTGTTGACCTATTTAATGGACAAAGTCATCCATGATATAACAACTTGTTGTACTATCTTTATTATTACGCTTGTATGAAATACATATGCTTGAACATTGTTTAGCGCCTACGCATGTATTCATTCTGCTAGCTTCATTATTAACTGCTTAGTCTATTCGCTGACTCATCCATTTTCCTATACATATATATATGTGTACATTTGCACCCATTCACTACAACTACTACTACTACTACTACAACTACTTGCTACTGCTACAATCGTAGTTCGCTTGCTCATTCATTTTGCCTCTCCGCTGTCTGGTCCGAATTATCTACTAAATAAACTGTAGTAGCTGCTTCTTTTTGCCTTCTGATTTCAAACATCGCTGAAGATTATACGATAACGGTTCGAGGGTGATTAATTATCGAAGCACAGCCACTACATGTTGACTAGCTTCCAAAGTGAATTTCTAGAATTCTAGTGAGAAGCCATGACAAGTGTAGTTCAATCGTGTCGGGCGTGTGTAATTTAATAAGCAAAAACAAATGACGTTGGTCATGAAATGTTGTAGATTGATTGAAATTAGATATTAACACTGTTGGGCGCCGGCCCTGTGGTCTAGAGGTTTGACGTGAGACTGAAGATCCTAGGTCCGATTCCTGCGTATGGGTTGTAGATGTATTCTGTGGAGGAGCCTGTGACGAAGCGGCTGTTTAGTGCTACCAGGTTTTCAATAGTTGTCAAGCTTATATCGGTTCATGATTTCAACTATCTCTGCAACATCATATTGACAACTTCAAGTAGTTTTTGTTATTTTGATGCAATAATCGTATGTGGAATTCAACATTATGTAGTAGAGAGCCTGTGGAGCGCTAGGTAGATGTGATTTGAAAGCTAAGTAGTGCAGAATGAAATTTCAAACAGAGAAGAGATATTGACTGTTATCACATTTTGTTTCCGGGAATTATTACATTCCTAAGGAATTTACTATAAAACAGCTGACATTATTTCATCATATCTTCGTACAACAAATACAAATAAACAGTCTATTGTATCGATGACTTTTTCATCATAGACTAATCCCGAAGATGAGATACAGGTACATCCAGTTAACGAGCCCCAAACAGGATGAAAAGCGCGTTCTGGATTCCACTGCTAGCCACTATCCATCTTTGCTTATAATGCTTGTGAATTAAGGTAATATCAAGGCAATCCGTACAGAATGTACATATGCTAATAAGGAAGACTGATCAATTTTAGTCCTAAATATCAATGAGAAGATTCAAGCAAACAATACAAAACGAATGAACAATTTTAATCTTAATACATTCTTCACAAAACTGGAAGGTCCTCTATTAGAATGTTTTCAAAGTAATCAACTAGACAATTATCGGTGATTTTTAGCTTTTAATAGTCCCTTAATCTTAGATTAGTTTAAATATGTCACAGGTATTGGGAGTTTGACAACGCCTTTACACATAAGACCTTTATAATCAAGTTATACCAACCCAATCAAATCAAAAGTCAGAAATGAAGAGGTTCAAAGATATATTTGAAAGGCTATTGATATATTGAGTAGCGTTTAATCTAATCTAGCTAACGGCTGTAAAAGATGCGTAGCATGACATGCACACCCGTGATCTGGTGCGAATGCGTGACTGCGAACCTTCAGATAAGGTATTTCCAATCAAACTAATAAGGTCATAATCAAATGTTGACGAGTTACTGAACTACTTATATTGGGGATTTATTTACCGCTATAACTTCATAATGATATCAGTATGAGGTTGTGAAGATGATTAAGTTTTTTGATTGAGTTCATGAATTGACTGATGTTAGATCACCATTGAAAATCGCGAACAGGATCGTGGATGCACAGTGCTGAGAAGTCCTACAATAGGATGAAACAATCGTCTAGTGCTCCCAGGTTTTCAATGATGGTCTAACATCAATCGATTCATGATCTCAATCATAATGATCTCATAATGATAATTCTCTCTCTCTCACTTTTTAACCTTCAAATTATTGATTTATAGATTAAATAAACAATCATGTCAAGATGAATTGAATCATTTAAAATGTCAATTAGCTGAAAAAGAATCTAAATTAACTGATGTACAATTGGAAGCTTTAGCAAGTGCTCATCAATTAGATCAATTAAAAGATGAAATGTCACATTTATATTCACAATTAAATTATTTACGTACAGATAATGAAAGATTACAAATATTAGTGACACATTTACAAAAACAACAACATTATCATCATCATCATCAACAACATCAACATCAGCTACAACACAGTACTCCTGCTCCTGCTCCTCCTCCTGCTCCTCCTCCTCCTCCTCCTCCTCCTCCTCCTCCTCCTCCTACTACTACTACTACTAACAATAATAATAATAATAATAATAATAATAATAATAATATGTCAATATTATGTAATGCAAAGATAATACCCGTTGAATGTGATACTTGTTCAAGTGAGTTTATTTTGAACAATATTGTTGTTGGGTACAATTTGGTCGTTTATTGATTTTTCATAATAAAATAAATATTGAGGTAACTCAAAATGGTAGTTTACTCTTTATGATAAATCTTGCTAATTGAACGCTATATTCGGTTCTCAAGCTATTCTCGTAATCCCCAAGTTGGAACTACACAACGACCTAAACACAAGAGAAAAGGCGCAAAATATGCAAGAAGCACTTTATTCTAAAGGTTCGTTTTGGTACAGAAAATATAGGGTGTTTAGGATATTTTAGATGTCCTTGGGTTTCCCGAAGATTCTGGAATGCTGCTAAACATAGTATGCAGTATAGTAATCAGCCAATCAGAAACTCTACATGTGACTTTTCACTTTTTTGATATTTCTGGCTAAACTCCAAGTGAACATTGAATGGATGAAATGCTTCTTAATGTTTCCTGAGTCTTTCTTGTCTTTTGCGAGAAGTTTTCTGGATCACTCCAACAATTTATAACTTAGTAAATGAGTATCTTGCTGGTGAAATAATAAAAAATCAGTTCAAAGTTCTGATGAATAAAATATATTTTACTTAAGGATCTAGATATTCCATTGTTTTATATCTTAGCGGATGTATCTTCCTTGAACTGTGAAAGTACTTTCAACTTGATGTTTTGATTATAGATTATAATCAATGAACAGAAATGGGACGCTATTGTTTGGTGGATTATGTTCAGTGTATCTTCAGTGTATATTTGTCTGGCTCCTGAGGATAGAGAATTGATTAAATTTCTTCTTTTTTGTATTACTCAGTAGCACACGATTCTGAAAGCTCATTTACTACCTATTCCAAGTATAAAGTACTCCAATAATTCCGAAGAAAGTTTTGCTCCTATGTTACTTACTTACGCCTGTTACTCCTCGGGAAGGAGCATAGGCCGCTCACCAGCATTCTCCATCCAACCCTGTCCTGAGCAATCCTTTCCAGCTCTTTCCAGTTTTTACACATTCTTTTCATATCTGCTTTTATTTCCCGACGTAATTTGTTATTTGGCTTTCCTGTTTTCAGCTTCCCTTCTGGATTCCAAGTTAGGGCTTGCCTCGTGATGCAGTTTGACGATTTGCGTAATGTATGTCCCATCCATTTCCATCGTCTTTTTCCAATTTCTTCTTCAGCTGAGGGTTGGTTTGTTCTCTCCCACAGAAGGCATTTGCTGATGGTATCCGGCCAATGGATATTGAGTGTCTTGCGTAGATAACCATTTATAAATACTTGTACCTTCTTGATGGTGGTTGTTGTAGTTCTCCAAGTTTCAGCTCCATACAGTGGAACTGCCTTGACGTTCGTATTGAAGATTCTCACTTTGATATTGGTTGAAAGTTGTTTTGAGTTCCATATGTTCTTCAATTGTAGGAATGCGGCCCTTGCTTTACCAATCCTCGCCTTTATGTCTGCATCTGAACCTCCTTGTTCATCGATTATGCTTCCTAGGTATGTGAAGATTTCCATATCTTCCAGAGTTTCGCCATCAAGAGTGATTGGATCGCTGTTTTCCGCTTTGAATTTGAGGACCTTGGTTTTCCCTTTGTGTATGCTGAGGCCTACTGATGCAGAGACTGCTGCTACACTGGCTGTCTTCATCTGCATCTTGTTCCTGTGTACATTTGTTATATTACATACATAGATTAGCTTGTTATGTTCTTCTTCATTTTGCGCACTCCCCGTTCTCTCATCTTCCTTATGAGATACTGATGTTGTTTTAACGCTTCATTTTGGCGTTTACAGAGATTGAAGTCACGAATTGATCAATGTTAGACCATCATTAAAAACCTGAAATCAATGAATGGCCGTTTAGTCCTAGTTTGAGACTCCTTAGCGGTGCGTATCCACGATCCCTCACATGGGATTAAAACCCAGGATCTCCTAATGTTTCACTTTCTTTTGTATTAATTCCGACTTAATATTGGCCACTGTTATGACTTATGCATGCTCTCCAATAGCACGTGACAAAAGCACCAATATGTTCAGCACTAATAACTCTGAGTCATAGCTTAGGGCTTATTGGTCCATGATCCGGTAGCTTCTCTCGTTGCCCTGCCCGCTGAGTCTAGATCACAATAATCAACCTCCACCATTCGAATGTTATATTTTAAGCGTATGTAGGTTATATACAGACATATCTGACCAGATCACATCATAAAATGAAAAATAAAAGTTGTGCATGATCAGGGGAGACTGTGTATAATAAACTGGCATCAGATTAAGAACGATAAGACGTACCATAGTATCCAATGTGTTAGTCGAAAGCTCATGATATATATATATATATATATATATATATATATATATAATGATAGTCCATCAATTAATCCTGACAGTTATCATTCATTTAGTCTTCATTGGATATAACAGTTACTTTGTTAGTCAGTCAAAATCAACATATACTCTGGTACTTGTGTGAGTTATCTAAAAATTCACATAGCAAATTAGCACAACAACGCAAAGGAATCGACAAGATGAATAATGAAGCAGTCAAAATAATTGTATCACCAATAATAATAATAATAAAGTCTTATCATTCAAAATATTGTTTCAGAAGAATAAATCAAGAAGTTGGGTTTAAAAGAACAATGGAACTCGAGATCTAAAGTAAGATGAAGAATGAATGAATCTTCTCCATTTTCAATGTATCTGTGCTATGTCACCAAACGTCGTCAACCACTGATCACGGTTACGCCAGGACTCTAACCAGATAGATTACATCTATGAATAAGACTAAAGACACAGAAGTAAATAACTTTATGGATTGATAAAAAGTTTCGGTTTGACTGTCATTAACTTTTTTCAAACCTACTCCTACACTAGCTAACATAACCTTTCTAAGTACGTATTTGTTAGACATATGTAACATATGTCCCAATCGGCTTCAGTTGATAAAGACTCACTACCTCACCAACCAATTTTTTTACCTTCATTTAGTACCCTAAACCTAACTTCAGTGTTACTTACGCTATGGTTCTAACAATAATTGAAGCAATAAAGGGACCATATATTGTGAAATCTTAATAGTCGTCTCGATGACTATGTGTAATTCGTGATACGCTATATACATAAGAGTTCACTGTCCACTTGACAAGCATGTGTATGATCAGTGAGAAAAGAAAAAAAGGACCCCCTGCCATATGGTACAAATTTCTCTCATTTACGGCAAGGACTCAAAACTACAGAACAAACACATCGAGAATTTCTAACAAAACGCGTCAACATCAAAGTCTCACTAAGCTGTCATTTATACTCTTCGGTCAAGCTCTCAAGTAGGTAAGACCACTCTTGTCTAGATTCCTTTTCTATTTTCCTCAAAAAGAAGTATTCTTCTACAACATGAGCAATTATTAAGGGACAATTGCCCATATATCCTTATTACCATTCAATATCACCTTGACATACAATGATAAATATTTTTGCCGGTTACTTATAACCTATTAACATCGTCATTATCAGAAATGGGTTATGTGGATATAATAGTAATTTAATAGTTAAATTTATAAGTCAGTTGAAACTAGACCACCATGGGAAACCTGCAAACGTTGGACGACCGTTTAGTCCTATTGCAGGTATCCTCAGCAGTGCGCATCCACGATCCCGCCTAAATAATATTATTATTTGATCAATGCAAAATGCAATCTTAATTTTATTGTATTAAGTGAGGCAAATAAAGCAAGATTCCCCGATACAACACAGCATGCAACAACCGAATCACACTTGACGGAGAAGATTTTGGGATATGTAAAAACGTTTACATATCTGGGCAGCATCATTGATGAACACGGTGGATCTGATGTAGATGTGAAGGCGCGGATCGGCAAAGTGAAGACAGCATATCTACAACTAAAGAACATCTAGAACTCAAAACAACTGTCAACCAACACCAAGGTCAGAATTTTCAATACAAATGTCGAAACAGTTCTACTGTATGGGGTGGAAACTTGGAGAACTACGAAAGCCATCATCCACAAGATACAAGTGTTTATTAACAGCTGTCTACGCAAAATACTTCGGATCCGTTGGCCTGACATTATCAGCAACAACCTACTTTGGGAGAAAACAAACCAGATCCCAGCGGAGGAAGAAATCAGAATGAAGCACTGGAAGTGGATAAGACACACATTGAGAAAAGCACCGAACTGCGTCACAATGCAAGCCCTCACATGGAATCCTCAAGGCCAAGGGAAAATAGGAAGACTAAAGAAGGCATTACGCCGAGAAATGGAGACAGACATGAGAAAAATGAACAAAAATTGGATAGAACCAGAAAGGAAGGCCCAGTAGAGAGTGGGTTGTAGAATGCTGGTCAGTGACCTATGCTCCATTAGGAGTAACAGGCGTAAGTAAGTAAGCCAAACGAATGTCGCGATGCAGAATCATATATGAGCACTGTTGAGGACTCCGACAATAGGACACAACAGCTGTTCAATGCTTCCAGATTATCTATGATATGGTCTAACTTCATTTGTCTCATACTATCAACTATTATAAATTGTCATTATTATCATCATCATTCAATTGTTTAACTTTGTTTCATTTTATCCTTTTAGATCTATTTATTGGCTTTTCTGAAAGAACAATTAATTTAAACAATTCATTCATTGCAACAGTCAATCTTATTTTAAACAATCCTCAACATAATAATAGTAATAATAATAATAATAATTCATCAACCAATTCTATTTTAAATATTGGTATCCTTTATTTAACAAAATTATATAATTGGGAATCTATAAATAATCATCTTGTTAATTTATATAATTTATATACATCCTATTTGAATTTGAACGACCCGCGTGACCTTCAAATGAATGAATTCAAACAATTTCAATTACATATTGATTCGTTGAATTATACATGGTATATTGAATTTCATCAAAATACATCAAATTATTCCATTCAATTTAAGGATGATAATAATAATAAGAGAACAATTCAAAATCCTCAACATTTAATTAATTTAATTCAATCTCAATCAAAACAATTCAATATTCAATTAGTTATGAATCATGATTTATTGAATATTGAACAAGCAAATTTATTAGCGGATCATTTAAATGATGATCAACAGAATTTACTTAAACAATTAAATAATTTAATGATAAAAACTTTATTAAATCGTGATATTTTATATTTTTATTATGAATTATTATATACATATCATTTAATGATATTCTATGATATAGATGATGCTTATATGAATATAGTGATACAAGCATTCTATGAGCATATTTGTTCAAGTATAAAGTAAGTTGTAAAGAAGGTTTATCATTATTATTATTATTATTATTATTATTATTATTATTATTATTATTATTATTATTATTATTATTTGAACACATAAATATTGGTACAGAGGGGCACTGAATACATATGTGCCACACAAAAGTCACTTGATTTGTGTGTGTGTGTGTGCGTATGTGATATGACACTGCCTGGGTGTCTAGATCAAAGCAGAAGGCTTACTTTGGAGGGGGGGTCCAAACCCGGAACCTTCGACTTAAAGGTCTAATCCACATGGCATATGGAACAACGTTAGAGAAGATTCAGTCTCATGGAAACCGATGACTAATACTTGGTTCATACGCCATTTTTTCCTTCAGGATCCTGGAGCCAGCCCATGTGCACAAGTGGTTTGAAATGAGGGTTTTACAACTCCCCTAGGTGGATCCTGTTTTATTTTAATAAACATTAGATTACGGGTAACTTCTGAGAACTATTGATTGACTAGTATTATATATATATATATATATATATATATTCCTATTGTATAACCGTTCAGTAACTAGATTATGTATATCCATATTTCTCTTATTATAAGCTTCATTTTAATCTATAGATTATTATGATACGATTTACTGTTCTTAAGTTATACTCAGTTTATTAACTACAGTCTTCCACGTTCACAGCCTTTTTTTGGCCTGATCGTGTATAAATGTTATTTCCTAATTTATGGTGTGATGCGGTCTACTTGGTTGATATATAAATCAAGTATGTTTGAAATAAATGATTTCATCCTATTGTAGGACTCTTCAGCAACGCATATCCACAATCCCGCTCACGGGATTCGAATCCAGGGCTTTCATTTTTTCTCATTCTGTCTTAGGCAATAGTTATGTAACAGAGTATACATTCTATCAACTATTTCATGTTTGTATCTAATCTAGTACATTGTTAATATATTTTCTCTTTTATTCAATAATTCAGTTTATTGTTGAGTTGATAGATTAAAAAATTGTTATAAATGACATTTCATTACTATGGAAATAACACAGCTGTTTAGATTATGTCATTAACAACAACTGTCTTTCTATATTTAAATGATGGGGATCTATAAGGTATTTGCTTACGCAATAGAAACAGTTTTACTTCTATCAAAGGGTACCTCACTTAAAATAAATGGAATATGGAACTTTAGTTAAACTAATAGAAAAATAACACACGCACACACATCCATACAAAACGTTTTTGATAATAAAGTAAATGGTAAGGTATATTTGTAGTGTTGGTTACTATGCTAAGCCTATATAACGTATTCTAACTTCTGGACAGGTCAGTTTATTCATTCTTCTAGAGTCACATATTGACTTAGTTGATTATCCAATTATTAATATTGACTGTTTTTATATGAGCGTATGTGTGTATGTGATCTTATCCTAATCATCAAATATCTGTTACCTATTTTTGTCTGGCTATAAATATTGACTAACGCTTGATTAAATGGGAGTTGGCTCACCCACCTTCTCCAACGCGCGTCATTTCACTTCGCTGTCTTCTCTTCGCTTCATCAGATAAGGAGCCACATATCTATGCATGATGATAATTGACATATCGGTGCCTATGAATGAATAATATCTGGAGAATTGTTTTATGTTTTTGGTGAGACTATAATTTATGGACTACCTTTCAGCGACGCTGAAGTGACCTTGAGAGTGTTCACCTAATATATAGGACCAAATGAGGGTTATAAACCTGCATGAGGAATTTGATTTATGATTCACGGTCGATGGTTAAGGTCAAGAATTAGATTTAGGGTTTTCATCACGAACTGATATCAGTTATAATGCCAAAACTCCATTTAGCCAAGTGAGTGGATGAATTTCGTACCAAAACCCAAGACCTGTTATCTTATATCTGATCGGTTCGTCCATAAATTATAGTCTCGCCTTTCCAGCTATTTATACTTGTCAAATTACATATACACTGATAGTAATAATAATAATTTCACTTGGTATTGTTTACTTGAATGTTTCTATTCACGTTTAAGACTGCAATTGATCAGTTTCTCTTATTGGTATATGTGCATACTGGACGTATTGCTTCGATATTGCCTTAATTCACATGCATTATAAACTAAGATGGATAATAACTAGCAGTGGAATCCAGGACGCAATTGCAGTCTTAAACATCAATGGGAAAATCCAAGTAAACAATACCAAATGAATTTAAACTTCACACCATTTCACAAGTAAGTGGCTATCAGGACTCCGTAGTTAAGTGGATAACATGATGTCGTTTGAAGCGAATGCTACTGGGTTCGAACCCCAGAGTGTACATCAACTGTTGGATGCAGTTACATCCAGCTGACAAGTCCCAAATAAGATGAAACATGCGTCCTGGATTCCATTGCTAGCTACTATTCATCTTCGCTTAAAATAATTAGAATAGGTAAAGTATGCGAAAACATGAACTCTCGTTTTAAATAACTACTTATTATTAGGGAATATAAGTAGTATTGTGAACTTACCATCAAAGATTAGTATCCAAGTGATAATAGCTATTCTGTTAATTGTAGCATGTTACTAATTTATACTATTGAAATGTTTCAAAAAAGAATGAAATATTTTATAGATTGTTCCAAAAAACTAGTATCAACCTTATTACGTAATAACTGTGTTGTATGAATCGGTAGTTTCAAGCTTAGAGTGTTTTCGCTTTGGTTTATGCATTTGTGTATGCGTATTCATGCTTGTGTTACAATTGGAAGCACATTTTAGGTTTCACGATTAGTCTATATTCTTGTATACTTTAGTGTAGTGAGATGTACATACTGTTCAGGATTTTTTCAAATGAGAACATATCAAAATTCTCAATCGAGATTTCAGGAATTCTAGAGTATTTCTAGAAGTATGTGATGTAGGTTAATCTACCATCAATTAACATAACCACAAAACTTCGATCTCTTGATCTATGTCGAGAAATTTGGTCAATCATATTGTGATGTACGCTATTCATGAGAACAGATATAAGTAGTATGTAGGAGGGATTGAAAGTGAGATGCTTACCAACAGAAGATTGAAATAAAGAGAAAAGAAAAGAAAACAGAAAGCGATTGAAATAACAACAGATGGAGTATGTAAAGGACAAGTGGAGAAAAAATATGCAAATGATGTATTCAATGTACAATTTTCAGATTTTACAAAAGCATTGAGTGATTTAGTAGGAGGTAATCAACTGGCATACCGTACCCGAATATTTTTTCAATATTACATGATCAGAGATTAATTAAGCAAAACAGCTGATGGTAAGTTATAAAGATGCTTAGCGAAAAGCAACGTCAAGTAAGTAAGTAAGGCCCGCAAATGCCCAGGCACGGTCGAGAGTGGGGGGAGCCCGCTCTCCCTCTCCAAATGCTCTCACATGGTCACGCGTATTTTGCCTCTGCCAGGGAAGTCCTACTCACTGCCTTCTCGTGGCGGGGAGGTTGTTTACGAAATTGAAAGGACGAAAAGCAAATTTCTGGCGCTTTAATGAGGCTGGTGGACACGGCGAGTCCACCTAGGGTAGTTGGAAAATTCTAATTCCAAACCAATGGTGCACATGGGCTCCAGGGTCCTGAAGGAAAAAATGGCGTATGAACCAATCGTTGGTCACCGGCTACCATGGGACTGCATCTCCTTACGATGCTCCACTGCCTTGTGGGTTAGACCTTTAGGTCAAAAGGTTCCAAGTGTGGCCCCCTAAGACAACCACCTGCTTCGGTTTGGGCACCCGGGCAGTATCACAGCCCTCCTCGTACCAATATCTGTGTTCAAATAAATAAATAAAAAGTAAAGTATGAATCAATCAATCATTCATTTCATCTATGCTTGTTTGTTTGTTTGTTTTCTTCTCTTTTTCTATATCACTCAAGTTCATCTTCATTGAAATTACATCATTTCAACTTAACTGATAGTGAACAAACTACAATGAATGATTTATATCAATGTTTATCACAATATATGAATAATACAATGAATAGAACAGAACAATTACCCACTAATTTAATCATTCTATTCTATATTCAATCAATGAATCAAATGTCTAATGATGATTATTTGAAAATTATCAATGATTTTCAAGTTTATTATAATAGAAAGAAAGATGATCCAAATAGAACATGGTAAGTACCTCTTTGATCATTTTTAGAGAAATTATATTATTGAATAGATTGTTAATACCGCCGCCCGTTTCGGGGAGATTATATTTTTATGGACGACCTTTGAACGAATCTTCACTGACCTTGAGAAATATTAGTCAATCAGCAAACAGTCAGTATAGAGTAAAAATATATTATACAAAATGAAGGAAATAAAGTGGATACACTTCTTATACGTGGTTGAAAAACTTGTCAAGGTTCGAAAGAGGTTCAGAGGTTCTAAAATCGTAATGCACGCAGTAAAGGAAATCATCCATACGGCAACAGAATAGTCCGCCTCTGGAGCCATGATAAAGTCTCAAAAACTCTTTCAGACTCAACCACATAGCTCCAATATTGTTTATGTGCACTCCGGGTTTTGAATACATAAAATACTACTTGCAGATAACGACACGATACACATAACCAAGCTTATGTGGGAGTCTAAACGCTCTCCAATCATCCGTATATATTGTAGTACCTGGTTGCAGCCAGTATTACTGGTTCTTTTATTATCCAGTTTGCAATAACTGTCGTAATTTGTCTTAGTTAGGAATTAGATTTACGGTTTTCATCACGAATTGACACAAGCTATAATGCCAGAAATCTATTTGGTCAAATGGATGAAAGGCTTTCACGCCAAAATCCAAGATTTCTTATCTTATACCTGATTGATTCGTCCATAAATTTTAGTCTTGCCGTTTTGTTATAGCCGCCCAATTATCACGTTTTGCACAAAATGTCCTGTGAACCGATTGTACGCTAGTATTAAGCACTGAAGTTGGCGCCATAACCTTGAAATCTCTAAGACGCTTCTGATTGGCTTGTCCATAGATTAGTGTCTCGCCGTGTCGGTATAGTGGTTTAAGGATATTATTGAATGTAACTGATATCGCATCCAAATGCCCTGGCACGGCAAAGGGTGAGGAGAGTCAGCTCTCCCTCTCGAAATGCCCTCACATGGCCACGCGTATATAACCACTGTCAGGAAAGTCCCACTCACTGCCTTCTCGCGGCATCGGTGTTGTTTATGAAATTGAGAGGACAAAAAGAGAATGTTGAGCACTTTAACTGGTTTGGTGGGTATGGAGGATACACCTAGGCGTGTTGGAAATCCCTCGTTTCAAACCAATGGTGCACATGAACTCCAGAATCCTGGGGGAACAAATGGTATATGAACAAATTATCAGTCACTGTCTACCATAGGATCGCATCTCCTTTGACATTGCTCCGCTGCCTTGTTGATTAGACCTTTAGGTCGAAGTCTCCGCGTGTGGCCTCCTAAGAAAACCACCTGCTTCGATTTGGGCACCCGGGCCGTATCATAGCACATATACACACAAATCAAGTGACTTGTATGTCACATATGTATTCGTTGCCCCTTTCTACCATTATTTATGTGTTCAAATAATTAAATAAATGTTACTGATATCACGAATCGACCGAAGGGACTAAGTTAGATCTGTGACGGGATCATAGATATGCACTATTGATATCTTTTTCCAATTGAGTTTCAATGGTATCCTAATTGAAATCAATTCTTGACGAATACAATCTAAAAATACAGTTAATAACAATCATTTATTGTAATCATAAATAAATATACAATTCAATTTCAATATCTTCTGCACGAACACTGTTATACCTAGAGCATAGATTCATAATATGCCGCGTATAACTTGAGCATTCAAACGCTAGAACCTACCCAAGTCGCGAATGAGAAGAGAGAAGACACGTAAAAGGAATGTTGTTCCAAAACAGTGCCAATTATGATACAAAACTGTCAGGTTTTTATAGTTTTTTATTAAAAATGAAATCATTATTATAGTCTTTCAATCCTCATACAGGGAGTTATTAGCATTTGTCCAATAGGGAAGCTACATGTATTGATTTTGAAATATTCTTCCAAAAGCTGATTGAATGGAGTATCTTCAGGTCTTTCTGAGCTTCTTAGAGCTTCCTCGAGTTCACCCGTGGACCGTCCTCACAAACGCACATACACATACATGTAAAAACAGATAGAAACAAGAAAAAAATCGTTTAGGAAAACAATGAAAACATGGAATAAACATGAAAGAAAACTGAATGATTGATATAATATAAGAAGCATTACATTTTTCGGTATGTGAATAAGTTTACATGTTGATAACTCCTAGAACCTCTTTTAGTTTGTTTGAATTTGTATGTGTTGACTGATGTTTAAGATGTAGTGTCGGTTGCTATGTTAAGCCTATATAACTTATTCTAACTTAAGAATAGGTCAATTTATTCATTCATCTTGAGTCACGTTTTGACTTTGTTATTATTAGTATCAGAAGGGGTTTTGTGGAGATTGTAGTAGTTTCAACTGCCGAAGAGTCCCATAATAGGACAAAATGGCCGTCCAGTGCTTCCAGATTTTCCATGGTGTTCTAGCTTCAATTGATTCATGATCTCAACTGTTGAAATTTGTTATTATTATTATTATTATTATTCACTTATCAACCTTGACTGTTCCTACATGAACGTATATGTGTACACTTCTTATCTCATTCATCTTATATCTGTAACTTATAAGCAAATATGGATAGTGACTAGAAGTGGAGTCCAGGACGCGCGTTTCGTCCTATTTAGGACTCGTCAGCTGGATGTACCTGCATCCAACAGTTGATGTTCACTCTGGGACTCAGACCCAGTCCTTACCATCAATGGGTAGATTCAAGTCTGTAACTTATTTTTGTGTGGCTATAAATATCGATTAATGCTCCACCGCGCGTCATTTCACTTTGCTCTCTTCTCTTCCCTTAGTCCATCTGATTGCCTGCTCAGATCAATGAGTGTACAAAATATATGTAATAGGAAATCCATTTTGTATTTGACTTATTTAATCCCATTATCCATCATCTAAGCCGATAATTTTATACAAGAATAGTCATGATGTATATTTCAACAATCAATCATACGATCTAATTGGAGTCAGATTTCGGGCCACTAAGAAAACCCAATTGTACAATAATATTTCAAGGGTTTTATCAGTCTTCGGAAAAAAAATCTTTAAGGTTTTCTTCCGTTAATTAACAAATTTTTCACCTAATTTTATATGAAAAATTTTAACGGGAAAAATCTTGACAGAATGCTACACAGAGTGTAGAGACGACCACCGGTGAACTCAAGAAAACTCTAAGAAGCTCTGAAGATGTTGAAGGCATTCTATTTAGTTATCTTGTGGAAAAACATTCCAGAATATCGACGTGTAGCTCTCCAATTGGACAAATACTAAAAACCACTGTATGCGGTTGGATGACTGTAATGATGATTTTGTCTTTACTAAAAACTATAAATACCTGAGTGCTTTGTATCATATTTGATACTGTTTGGAATAAGATTCCTTACTACTCGTCTTCTGTCTTCTAACTTGCAACTTGGAGGGCTCTAGAGTTCGAGCATTCAAGTTGTATGAGGTATAGCAAGAATAAAAGTCCTAGATAAAACACAGAGGAATGTGTTATAACCTTAAATCATTAATAGATCAAATCCAATAAACACGAGTTCACTCATTAGAATCAGACCAATAACCTTTTGATTCAAACAATAACATAATTTAATTGAAATCATGAACTGTTCAATGTTAGACCATTATTTAAAACCTTGAAATACTAGACAGCTATTTTATCCTACTATTCATGTAAGACCGATGGTCCTGGGTTCGATTCTCATATACAGGGTCGTGGATATACACTGCCAGTGAACTCCATTACTGAGATAAAATAGCCATCCAATGTTTCATGGTTTTCAATAGTTGTCTAACACTGATCAGTTTATGATCCACAACCCCATATCAATAATAACACCACTGACTGACAACAATGATCTCAAAACCATTTGATCAATTCAGCTTTTTTTCAATCTCAAATAATCAGTCAAAATTTATTAAAAAATTCAATGAAAGTTATCTGATCAGTGATTGTTAATGTAAGACATTTGTTCAAATCAACTATTCAATAATGACACATATCATTCTTCTCTCTAATGAATCCTACTTATATTTTAGTTCAATATATCTAATTGGTACTTGGATAACATCAGTTGGCAACAGTTCAATTGAATCATCATCATCATCATCATCGTCGCCGTTATCATCAATCCCAGGTCCACTTCAAAATCTAACAACAACATCATCATCAATGAATGTGAAATTGATCTCATATCCAAACAAATATAATAGTATATATAAATCTGTACAATGTTTCAATGAATTAATTTGTTGGATTCAAATAGACTATTCATTTAAACAATCTTATATGATAGGTGATTTAAAGAAACAACTTGTTCATTCATTAGTTAATGAATTCAATGAAAAATTATCATCATCTTCATTATTGAATCAAATGGATCAAGAATATTTAGATAAATTTCATAATCAATTGAAATGTTATGAAGATCTTATTAAATGGATTCAACAGGTAGGTACTTTTAATTGAAAACAAAAAACCTTTTTTTCAAATGTTTATAAACAAAGATGATTAATGGTTAACACAGTAGGATCCAGATTGTGTGTTTCGTCTTGCTTGGAACTCGTCAGTTAGATGTACCTGTATTCTAAAGTTAATGTTCACTTCTGGACTCGAACCTAATACTGTTCGCTTCAAATGCCATCGTGTTATCCACCTAGCTACTGAGTCTAGTAAATATCAACTTTGGAATGCAGGTACATCTCTACTGAAGAGTTCCAAATAGGACGAAATGAATGTCTTGAACTCCATCGCTAGCAACCATTCATCTTTGCTTTTAATACGTGTGACTTCAGGCAATATCGAGGCAATCTGCACAGGATACATATATGCCAATAAGAGGAATATCAGTCGAAATCGTAAACAGTGATAGTGGTTTATAAATTTATACTACTAATAAGTAGAATATCCTATTTGACGAAAGCAGTTTCAAATTCATTTGGTATTGTTTATTTGAATCGTCCCATTGTTGTTTAGGTTTGCAATTGATCAGTCTCTCTTATTGGTATTTATGCATCCTGTGCGAACTGCTTCGATATTGTCCTAAGTCACAATCTTTAAAAACAAAGATGGATGTTGGTTAGCAGTGGAAACAAGGACACGTGTTTCGTCATATTTGGAACCCGTCAGCTGGATATAACTTCATTCCAGAGTTGATGTCCACTCTCTGGGACTCGAACCAAGTGTCGATGCAGATACATCCAACTAACCAGTTTCAAATAGGACGAAACCCGGGTTCTGGATCCCACTGTTAGCCACCATTCATCTTTGCTTAGAGTTTCGAATTATTTACATTAGATTTTATTAATAATACTGGATGATCATTGTACAATATCTTGAAAAGACTGAGGTTAGAAAGTTGAATAAATATGGTTTCATTGATTAGGTCTAATATTAACAAAGTTTCATGATGAACTATTCAAAACCGGTAATCTACATTCACTTACAACCAATAATGATTCAATATGATTTTAATATTTGAAAATGGCTGACAATTCAAGTGAATTTCAATAAAAAACCAGTACGGACATTGATACAGGATAATATTTCGTTAGGTTCTTATGAGCTACTCACAACCAAATTTGTATTAGAATTTCACATTGAGGTAAGATATAGTGTGGAACAATTAACATAAGTGAATATAAAGAATTGAAATGGCAAGGGTTATCAATAATAACTGTATATATATATGTGCAAGAACAGGTCAGAAGTTATTTGGTGATACAATCAAGAAAACATTAAGGATAGGTGATGTAATAGTTAGGTTGTTTTTGGTTGAGTTTTGTTCTTTGAGCTGGATGGTATATTCATCGTTCATCTGAACGACATCATCAGCACAAACTTCAGGTAGAAGTCAAGTGTTCGAATTTCTCCACATGTGGTTCACAGCTTGTCCTGTACACCTCGATGTCGATTGGTTCTTGTTGATCTTTAACCTGTCATTGTTTACTTCTCTGAATTGGTTGTATCTCCGGTTGGTTTGGTTTTCGTTACCATGTTTGTTCATATTTTTCCAGATTGGTTGATAGACTGAATCGATTCCAATGTGCTTGTTGATTCCCGATTGACCTGAGTGCAAAGCTTCTAAAAATTCTCCAGTGTTATTGAAACTACCTCTCTCCGAAACCTCTACATTTGTTCAGTCTAATATGTGTCCGCAGTTGTCTACATGCATTGATATAAGTGAGGATGTCTCATGGCGTTTAACCGCCAATTGATGTTCATTCATGAGAAGATGAAGAGGGCGTCCGCTTTGTCCGATGTAGTGTTTTTTGCAGTTGGCAGAATTTATTTCGTAGATGATGTTTGGTTTGTCTTCTTTGGTCATTTCATTTATCAATTGGTTATAGGATTGATTGTAGGGATTTGATCAGTTTGTATTCAACATCTTTTCCAAAGGTTTCCAACAGTCTCGTTGTCGTTCCTGATATACATTTTATGTGCGACAGGGTGATCCTTTTGTTGGTTTCTGTACTTGACTTTGTTCCCGATGATGCTTGAGGCTGGTATTTTATGCTGAATTCAATTGTGTAGCCGTTCTTTTGAAGGATGGTTTTCAGGTATTTTTCTTCATTTTTCTGTGCTAGAAGTGTGTTGTTGTGTGTTCTCGTCTTTTTGAACAAAGTTTGTAGGCAGTTGATTTTGTGAGCTCTTTAGTTGTTGCTATTGTGGTTGAGAATTTGATCTGTGTTGGCCGGCTTCGGATGTACTTAAGTTTCCAGTTTTCCTGTGTTGGTTCTAGTAATCAGTACGTCCAAGAATGGTAGTTTGTTGTTCGATCCTTGTTCCATTGTGAGAAGACTTTGTTGACCAGACTGTAAGTGTTTTTCTTTTTGATGATGACGAATGTGTCGTCCACATAATGAATCCAAATTTTTGGCTTCATCACTGGTAAAACAGACGATTCTAATCTCTGCATCACTGCTTCTGTGATAAGTCCTGATATTGGTAGTGGAGTTCAAAGACAGATAAGATAAATTATGTAATAATAATAATAATCTTAGGGGTAATAAAGAGTTCACATAAGATTCATGGAATTAAAAAAACAACAACTGGTAAAATAGATTACGTAACCATTGAACAGAATTTGATGATGCCTGGAAGCACTAGACGCCCGTCTCGTCCTATTGTGAGACTGCTCAGCTGTGCGCATCCACAATCCCGCTCAAGGGACTCGAACCCAGGACCTTCGGTCTCGCGCACGAACGCTTAACCTACTGGACCACTGAGCCGGCGTCCAATGATGATAGTGTCTAACATCAACCATCCACGGAATTGAGCGACCAACTTCCATTGTACTGAGGAAGACACCTGTTTCTATCCGACACGGATTAGCTCCGTGGATGCGAACTACTGAGGAGTCGCACAGTAGGACGAAACGGCCGTCCAGTGCTTCTAGGTTTCCAACGGTAGTCTAACATCAATTGGTTCATGATCTCGATCAAAGAAACAATAATCTCCACAACCTCTATACTGATGAAAAAAGTTGTGTTTTTTTTTTAATTTTTCTCACAGGTTCTCAATTATTTAAATCAATTCATAATAGAATTGCATAATCATTATCATGAAACCACATTAGAAGATACGCATCAATTTCATTTGATCAATCCATTAATATTTTTATCTTTACCATTTCATGATGATCTCAGTAATTCTGAATTATGGTTTATTGATTTATGGAATAATCAAATTGTAAAAATGATAAAAAATTTTATTGATCAATGGTCTAATCATCATCAGAAATCAATAAAACAACCGGTAAATTGTATTGATCCAACCAATCGGATTCTATCAACATGGCCATGGCATACAACAAATTGGTTAGAATGTTTTCATAAACATAAACATAATAATACAGATATGATATCTCCACCATGTTTAATACATCTTATTGAATGATGCACATAGAAATACAGTTAAATTTCAATGTTGCTTATATACTACTTACTATTATTGTTAGTAGTACTAGTAGTAGTATCAGAAAGTAACAACTTAAAGTGTTATATATGATCTTTAACCCTACCAGATCAACAGATTTACATAGTTTCATTCACTAGGAAATGTATAATATAACCAATCCAAAATATATCTTCTTAGCTGTCCCCTTTTTATGTTCAATTTGTATATACATGAAAATAAAGTTGCCTAGAAACAATATGTATACAAAATTATTCAAATAAATTTATATGTGAACAATGTGATTTGATTACATGATCAAGGAATATGGATTTTGTTTTTGTTCTGTTCATTCATCAAAAACATGAGTCCATTGTAAAATTCTATCTAATCAGTATTTGGTAATTAATGATGAAAAGAAAATTATAAACAAATTGCTTACTTATTTATAAATTCCATTTTGTTTTGTTTTCTATACCAAGAAAACTGTTAAAGATCGTTATGTGATTAACACAGAATATGGTATGCAACTAATGCATGTCGAACGTATAGAACCCTACAGTTGCAAAACAGAAAGCTGAAGAATAGTTTGTTGGACAGGAATCAAAATGTACAAAAAATCATGGGTATTTATAAATATCAACATGTCATATAAACATTATAATTTAGCCAATTCGCAAAGAGGTAATGCTGTGCTACTGTCCAATAGAAACATACCAAATTGGTATTCTAGGAAACTCCATCACGTTCTGATTAGATGGGAACTGTTCGGTTGCTTTAGGGCCTTTGAAGGCTCCATCGTTGTTTTAGGAAGCCGTCCCAACAAAAAATCTATCGACGATATTGTTTCGATATGAGGAGGAAAAGTGGGTTTAGAGGGGAGTTTACCAGCCGCATTTTTGAAATTTTTACTGGACGATGTTTGTGTTAAATTTTGTAGTTTACATCACCATGGAAAACCATGAAGTACTAGATAGTTGTTTCTTCTAAGTATGAGACTATACTGCACTGATGGCATTGAGCGACCAGTCAAAATGAAGTTAACCAACGTACGAATCTAAAACGTTGTTACAGATAGGTCTCTGCAGTTCTAAAGGATTGGATAACAGTTCCTTTACGGAATGAACTGTTAAGATTGGTATTTTAGGATTAAGATCATGACTATTGGTGTTAGGAGTTAGAATCTAGGAGTTTGAGTGTAGGAAGTCAGACTTAATATATAAGGTCCTCTACCGTTAAAAGCAAATGTCTATCAGGCTTACATTACTACGATTTGTGGCCTTAATTATCGATTAATTAGCACTAATCAGTTCATTATTGATAATAAATCTACTAATACTATGACAGTTCACCATTTCTTAAAAGATTTTAGGATCTACATGAAATTTGCATTTTGAATAGATATTCCTGACTGGTTATTCTAAAAGTGACAATTGAAATCATCAAAGAAATCACTATAGTATATTTTTACTAATCCTAACCCTAATTCTAAATTTCATTCCCTACTGTTAACCCCGCGTCCTGACCCTAAATCTTAATTGGTTTTTTTTTCGGGATTTCATGTAATAAATTATTCCTTGACACAAGCCTGTATTCGGATTAGCTAAAAATTAGTTTTACTTTGACAAGATTACTTCGAGAATCGCTGAATGTGATATGCTTTCGCTAAGAGTTCTTGATAGAAAAAAACTAACTCAACAATGAAAACTACTTATTTATATTATCAGTAGGCAAAATATATTTCTGGAAAAAAAAGAACACTAGGCAAAAGTTACACACTTATTCAAAGAAACAAAACATGAAAAATTAAATCATCCATGCATAAAAATCACTATGGAAAGTTCATGATTACAAGTTATGGATAGCAAAAACAAATCATAAAAAACTGAAAAAAAAATCCTCTAAAAAAAAGAAAAAAACTTCCATTAAATCAAATAAGAATTGTATCTATGGCAATTGAAAGAGAGAGAACAATTCAAGCACATCTAGCATACACAAAGCTGATATCAACTTATGTTGAATGTTTTGTAGAATATAAAATTCACTTCACAGAGTCCTGGAAATTGAGCACAGAATATCAAAAATGTAATGCTGAAAATGAATTCAATGTATTGAGTGTTTTCTGATGGTTTGTTTATCTGGATTCGAACAACAACAACAACAGCAGCAGCAGCAGCAACAGAAATCGTGGACAATTAAGATTCAATTATTAACGAATTTCATTAGTCATTCCTTAACTTTATCGTTAATCATTCTAATTTGACATAGTTAGCAGGAAATAGACCAACTTTATTACGACAAACACCTTTCCACCAGCCTGCATCGATTTTTTCAACCTCTGTAATTATTTCACCAGCTTTAAATGTCAATTCATCATTTTCAGCTTCATGTACAAAGAAAGAAAGAAAGAAAGAGATTTGAAAAGAATATAGATAAACAATTATAAGTAAATTGTTAAATAAGTATCAATGAGAAATGATTGAACGAGGTTGGGAAGTAGTATACTTCTCGTTAGATAAATTTTGAATTTTAACTATCAAAATTGAAGTGTGAAAGTCGTATAACTTCAACCATACTACTTATGAGTAACCAACATTTTTCGAATAACTCCCTTTCCTATATTTCCTTAGATGATTGTCAGACAAATATATTCTTATGATCTATACGTGAAGTGTCCTCGAGTATGACTGAAGATCCTTGACTTGATACGCATTATTGGGGAGTATCTTACTATAAAGAAATGGTCTTTCAGTGCTGTCAGGTTTCCAATAGTCGTCTAGCTAAGATCGGTCCATAATTTAAACTAAGCAATATTTCCTTATCATTTGAGGTAACTTCTATCTATCCGACCAAATCGGATTAGTCAACTTGAAGTGTTTTTTTTCGCTGAGTGTTGACTGGTACTTTCGATTTTATCACCTAAATTACCAATCATTGATTGTCATTAATAAAGAGGGGGTTTGTATAGGTTGTTGAGTTTTGTAGTTTTACATTATGGACTGATTTAAACTAGACAACCCACTGAAAATGCACCAGGGATTGAATCCAAGTCTCGCAGCAAGCACCTAACCTCTAGGCCTCCCTACGGGAGCAATAACTATGTGCTCACCAGTACCCAAAGGACGAAATTTTAAGAGTTCCAGAAAGAAGTTGTGACAAGTAGAATTCAATCGCGTCAGAGTGTGTAAGGCAATTATCTACTGAAGGCAATGGGAGATTGTCAAGCGGGGTCGCAAAGTGATTGGAATTATACCTGTAAACTAATGGATCTCGGATCTCAATTTTTAACAAAAGTAAGGTGTTAATCTATTACTTATCAAGAAGATTTCATAGGTTAATTTTCGTTATCTGGATCTTGTACACTACTGATGATATTGTTGTCTAGAAAGGCAATCAGTGAAAGCTGTACGATTAAACCATGCTTAGTACACACAGAGAGAGCCCTCCAACTTATGTATAGATATCTTAGGTTGGTCAATAAGATATTTGCTCGGAAAAAGTTGAAGCAAAAAAGAAGCATTATCATGCTAAATAAATGAAATTTTTTCATTTCTACTAATGAATAATATTGAAATTAGCTACGATTCATTAATTAACTGATTTATGATTTGGAGATCTACGGGAACTTCAACAACTAAGCAGTGAACAACAAGTATAATATTTATGAGTAAAACACTTTCCCCCCCCCCTTAGAATGAAACAAAAATTGTCACTGGTTAAGATAGACAATGTAGCTATCTAACAATTTGGGTCCTGTAAAGGGATGATAGATGGATCATATTAGCTTATGTATAAGTAATCGTACAAACTTCAAGCTAGTGAAAGATCCATGATTTATAATCGATAAGTAAACAATAGTTTCTTCTTAAATCTATAAATATTCTGTATAGATGAGTAACAAGTAAATGTAAATAAATGAGAACAAGAGTCTATACTGTCAACAACTGACGTTTAACACGACTTATAATGACTATATATATATATATATTCAGACAAATGGATCAGAATTGCTTACCGGCTTCATAATCATACATAGCGGTTACCGTAAACATTTCAGGAACTTGATCATCACTGGCGACAGGGTGATCATGTACCTATGTGAAATAAACGAACAAATAAACATCACCTTACATTAAGAAAAATACTTCGAAACCAGTGTCAGTATTAATGACAGGTGGACGAGTGACTGATTAATTGGCGCAACTCCAATCAAAATCTAATATGTATTGAATTATTCATTTAAACACAAATATTGGTACAACGAGGCATCAAAGATATATGCGCCACTTTTCATTTTAATTTTATTTGAACACATAGATATTGATACAAGGAGGCACCAAATACATATGCGCCACACAAATCATTCGATTTGTGTTAAGGCTGGAATACTCCTCGAGTGCCCAGACCGAATCAAATAGGTATCTTAGGCAGCCCCACTCCCCGAGCCTTTGACCTAGAGGTCTAATCCACACGGTAGTGGAGCAACGCAAGGAGATGGAGTCTCGTGGTAGCAGGTGACCAACAATAGGTTCATAATCCATTTATTCCTTCAGGATCCTGGAGTCCATGTACACCACTGGTTTGGAATCAGGGATTTCTAACTTCCCTAGGTGTACCATCCGTACCCACCAAACCGATTAAAGTGCCGGACATTCGCTCTTACTCCTCTCGATTCTGTAAACAACACCGGTGCCGCGAGAAGGTAGTGAGTAGGACTTTCTTGGTAATGGCGGCATACGCGTAGCCATGTGAGAGCATTTCGAGAGGGAGAGCTGACTCTCCTCACCCTTGGCCTTACCAGGGTATTTGGGGGCATGTATTGATTAATATTGATGAATAGCTCTCAGCTTTGATCAACTTGAGCACTACATACGGACAGTGACCTTGAAGGCGTATGGATGCATGGAGTGTGTGAATACGATGGCAGAATTTTCTCATGTTTATATATGTAGGTGTTTTGTTTGATGTAATATTCTTGCATGTAGAGCCGACCTTGATTAATTGTGGTAAAGAGCGAATGACAAATTTGAACGTTATGTCAGTCAAAAGTCACTTCATAACTGATAAATAAAGGTTTCCAAAATTGGTAGTGTTGAGTTTTCTGAGCAATATTTTCAGCATCTACCTTATGTAGAAGTGAGCTCTCCAGTCAGTCCACAAGTGTTGTATCGCTTCATTCCAACGACCATGTCCGTAATTAGCCATCTTCGTAAGTCTTGTTGTTTATATTTGTCAATGTACTCACCTTGACTGATTTTATTGGTTGACCTCTGGCCTAGTGACTCACTGATTTCTTCCATATGATTTTATAGATTAGATCGATTTCGATTTGTCTGTTTATTGATAACTGATTTGAATCCCATGCTTCTAGAGATTCTCTGGCATTCTTGAAGTTTCTTCTACCTAACATGTTGACTTTTCACCAATCGAATTCATCCCCATGGTTTTT